AGATATCCACGTAAATAAATAGTTCCAATTCACATGTCAGAAATCATAAATTTTGCAATAAATCTATTGATGGCTAGAAATTTATTAACATATTTTTTCATATCTGCGACTAAAACTTTTTATGATCTATTCTAATATTTTATGTATTATTATTATGATGTATATTTTATCTTTTGTTTCATCTGTGAATTTGTATTTTTCCAGTTTTCAACATAAGACTTATAACGTTAAAACGTACATTTCAATGTTAGTACTATATTTACTTTATATCTTTGCCATTTAAAGCTATCTCTATATTACCCAATTTTAACCAGGTATGATATTTTATTCACAATTATTCTATATTTTACAAGACAAATTTATCTTCAAAATTTTCCTGCAATTATAGATCACAAACTTGCTGTTTATCAACAAATACTAGAGTCACTTACTTTAATAATACTAATTTTTAAAATATTAATTTTTTAAAAAATGAACTCATCTGAGCAACAACTTACTCAAAATAAACTTACTACTAATTATTTAATGATTTTATAGAAAATATATTTTAGATTTCATCAAAAATGTTAGTAAATTTTAGAATAATAAATGGCCATAGTTAGATATAATAAAATTTGTTTATAGAGGACATAAACATAAAACATAAGGATTTTAATTGCCGGATGATTTTGAAAGTTATATAGCTTTTAAATAATCAAGTCGTTTCTTTTTATATTTTATCAGACAATTTGGAAACAATCGTCGTTCTTGCTCTGATTCAAACAATGTATTATGAACATATCATATTTTATAGTTTTAGTTAAAAATAATAAAAAATGCTAAAAAATTTTGGAAATTGCTCAGATGGCTCATTTATTTGTTTTAGAATTATATTGTTAGATTAATCATGTTTATTTAAAAATGTACACAATAAAATAAATTGGAACTTGAATATTGAAATAAAGCTTATTCATAAAATATACATTAAATTAAGCTCGGATTAATATATATTGCAACTAATTTTTTTTAAAGTGAAGAAGGTGTTCTATGCTTAGAATAAAGTTCAAATAAAATAAAATTAGTTCAAATTTTAGTTTTTGTTTTTTATGAAAAAGTATGCATTCTGCATTTTGTTCATCAACTGTATTTATAATATACAAAATTTTCCTTCAATTATAGATCGCAAACTTGCTGTTTATCAACAAATAGTACAGTCACCCATTTTAATAAAACTAATTTTTAAAATAATATTAATTTTTAAATTAATGAACTCACCTGAGCAACAACTTACTTAAAACAACCTTACTACTAATTATTTAATGATTTTATAGAAAATATATTTTTGATTTCATCAAAAATGTAAATTTTAGAATAAATGGCCATTGTTAGAGATAATAAAGTTTTATCAGCTTATATCCAAGTAAAATTACCTTATCAATATATTTTAATATAATAAAATCTTATAGTGTTTTTAATTTTTATTGTCTCTAATTTTTCTAGAGGACATAAACATAAAACATAAGGATTTTAATTTCCAAATGATTCCCAAACAATGTATTATGAACATATCATATTTTCATAGTTGTAATTAAAAATAATAAAAAAATGGTTCTGTATGTGTTATATTTATCTTATTTTGGAAATTGCGCAGTTGGCTTGTTTATTTGTTCAATTATATTGTTAAATATCATAAATTTGCTTTTCTGAATTTTGATATCAAACTTTTAATAAATCATGTTTATTTAAAAATGTATACAATAAAATATATTGGAACCTAAATATTGAAAAGAAGCTAATTCCTAAAATATTCATTAAATTAAGCTCGGATTAATATATATTGCAAATCAATTTTTTTAAAGCGAAGAAGGTGTTTCTGTTCTATGCCTAGAATAAACAGTTCAAATTTTAGTTTCGTTTGTATGAAAAAGTTCTGCATTCTGCATTTTGTTCTTCAACTGTATTTATAATATCCAAATTTTCCTTCAGTTATAGTTCGCAAACTTGCTGTTTATATCAACAATTACTACAGTCACCTATTTTAATAAAATAATTTTTAAAATATTATTTTTAATTAATGAACTCATCTGAGCAACAACTTACTCAAAACAACAACCTCACTACTAATTATTTAATGATTATATAGAAAATGTATATTTACGATTTCATCAAAATCTTGGTAAATTTTAGAATAAACGGCCATAGTTAAATATTATAAACTATTATCAGCTTATATCCAAGTAAAACTACTTTATCAATATATTTTAATAGACTAAAATCTTATTGATTTTTATTTTTATTGTCTCTAATTTTTATAGAGGATATAAACATAAAACATAAGGATTTAATTGCCGGATGATTTAGAAAGTTATATAGCCTTTATATATATTTTTAAAAGACAATTTGGAAACAATCGTATTTTCTCTGATTCCAAACTATATATTATAAACATATCATATTTTCACAGTTTAATTTTAATAATAAAAAATGGTTCTGTATGTATTATATTTATCTTATTTGGGAAATTGTGCAGATGGCTCATTTATTTGTTCTAGAATTATATTGTTAAATATCAAAAATTTGTTATTCTGAAATTTGATATCAAACTTTTAATAAATCATGTTTATTTAAAAATCTACACAATAAAATATATTGGAACTTAAATATTGAAAAGAAGCTAATTCCTAAAATATACATTAAATTAAGCTCGGATTAATATATATTGCAACTTCAATTTTTTTAAAGTGATGAAGGTATTCTATGTTTAGAATATGCAGTTCAAATTTTAGTTTTCGCATTCTGCATTTTGTTCATTAAAAATTCATTTTCTTCTATGGCGAACGTATCGAACTAAATCATCCTTTCCAATAATTCAATGCATTTTTAAAAATACTTAAAAGTATTTTTATATACAAATTCAGCACAGTTTATTTTAAGTGAACTTTATATTTAAATTAATATTTCCTATATATGATTTGGGTAATAAAGAGTATTCTTTTAAATTTAAAGTGATTTTTTTTTCAGTAAACCAAAACAATAATATATTAGATAATTTGAAATTATTTGAAAGCTATATTTTTTATTGATCTATCGAAGAATGATTTTGTTTTAATAAGTATTATTGAAAAGTATGGTTATAATTTTATTATTTTGTATAGTCGTTCCATAAAAAGTAATTTTTAAAATATTATTTTTAAATTAATGAACTCATCTGAGCAACAACTTACTCAAAACAACAACCTCAACTACTAATTATTTAATGATTATATAGAAAATGTATATTTACGATTTCATCAAAAATCTTGGTAAATTTTAGAATAAACGGCCATAGTTAAATATTATAAACTATTATCAGCTTATATCCAAGTAAAACTACTTTATCAAATATATTTTAATAGACTAAAATCTTATTGATTTTTATTTTTATTGTCTCTAATTTTTATAGAGGATATAAACATAAAACATAAGGATTTTAATTGCCGGATGATTTAGAAAGTTATATAGCCTTTATATATATTTTAAAAGACAATTTGGAAACAATCGTATTTTTCTCTGATTCCCAAACTATATATTATAAACATATCATATTTTCACAGTTTAATTAAAAATAATAAAAAAATGGTTCTGTATGTATTATATTTATGTTATTTGGGAATTGTGCAGATGGCTCATTTATTTGTTCTAGAATTATATTGTTAAATATCAAAAATTTGTTATTCTGAAATTTGATATCAAACTTTTAATAAATCATGTTTATTTAAAAATCTACACAATAAAATATATTGGAACTTAAATATTGAAAAGAAGCTAATTCCTAAAATATACATAAATTAAGCTCGGATTAATATATATTGCAACTTCAATTTTTTTAAAGTGATGAAGGTATTCTATGTTTTAGAATATGCAGTTCAAATTTTAGTTTTCGCATTCTGCATTTTGTTCATTAAAAATTCATTTTCTTCTATGGCGAACGTATCGAACTAAATCATCCTTTCCAATAATTCAATGCATTTTTAAAAATACTTAAAAGTATTTTTATATACAAATTCAGCACAGTTTATTTTTAAGTGAACTTTATATTTAAATTAATATTTCCTATATATGATTTGGGTAATAAAGAGTATTCTTTTAAATTTAAAGTGATTTTTTTTTTCAAGTAAACCAAAACAATAATATATTAGATAATTTGAAATTATTTGAAAGCTATATTTTTTATTGATCTATCGAAGAATGATTTTGTTTTAATAAGTATTATTGAAAAGTATGGTTATAATTTTATTATTTTGTATAGTCGTTCCAAAAATTTTTTCTCATATTTATAAAAAATTGGCATTAGTATAAAATTGAATTAATAATTATATATTTTTTTGTTATAAACTATATTCTAGTCAATGCGTTTGAATAGTAAATTGTGCAGATCTTTGTAAAGTTTTAAATTGTTTTCCTTGTTATTAGTAGTAAATTATATTCATTCGTTAGTAGTTTCGAATTTTTACCACCACTTATACTATTACATTAAAAATTTTAATTTGTTTTTAATTTTCAAACTATTATACCGCATACTTATTATTATTCTCAACATTCATTTTAAATAAGTTTTGTGCACAGAATAGATATATAACAATTCAAAATTCTAGTGGTCGTTTTTTTATATAAACGTTTACGAAGATAATTTTATATAACTACATTTTCATATTATTCATTTTTGTATTAACATAGAAACCTTTTGCAAGATTACTCATATACTCATAGAATCTTAGTATTTATTTTATTTTTTGCTTACTGATGTATTCCAGCTGCCGTCGCTGACGATCTGAAGCCTTCTCTAGTTTCTGTTGAAAAGCATAAGTTATTGGTTTGTGGTCAGTTATGAAAAAATGTCTGCCTTCTAAGAGATATTCAAAAATTTGATTGCGGCAAAAATAGCTAGTAATACTGCTTGTAGAAAATACTGCTTTCTGATGAAGATATTAAAAACATCTTGTATTAAAGGTGGAGGATACCTGTCAGGCAGCGTGTTTGCCTCAGCCTCCTATAATCTCCACACATTTTGAATGTGCCATTCTTTTGGGAACCATGTGAATAGGGCTTGCCCATGGACTGTTGGAAGGCCTCAAAGTGCCCCTGTTCAAGAGATCTTGTATCTTAGACCTAGCTGCAGTAGTCTTTTCTCCGAAGATCTTCCTGAACCTGGCAGCAACTGGTCGACTTGTTGTGGTTATCCTGTGGGCAAAATGAGATGATTTATTATTGGTGGTTACCTGCGGTTTTGTTATTGCGATGTATTGTGCCAGTAAATCCTTGAAAGGCTCTTCCGGGTTGACAGTGGAGATGTTGACTTGCTGTGCCTCGAGTGCCTTTCCATCAGAGGCAAGGCCTGTGGTCGAATCAATCAATCTTCTGCCCTTCAAGTCTATTAATAGATTGTAGTTGCTCAGGAAATCGGCTTCTATAATGGCTGTGGCTACATCGGCAACAAAAACTGCCAGCTAAAACTTCTGCGTAGTGATAGATACAGCTCTATCCAGTGCTGGATTTACAGTAGGGGCAATCGGGGGGGCCAGGGCGGCAAATTTTGGGGGGCGGCAAAATTTGGATAGTGAAAAAAAATTCTATATAATATAATCTACTTTTTTTAACAATATTTTTTATATCAGGAAATATAATTAACAAAACACAATACGATTGCAATACAAATTTTGGTAACTAATAACTAAAATTTATTATTTTGCCATGTCTCCCTCTCCGAACGTAAATTATCAAATTCGTTAATAAGTTGGTTAATTTGACAATTTGGCTAATATAAAGATCCGTAAACAAGTTGAAAGTTTAAGAAAAACATGTTCTTTCAGTTCTCGAGCCCTCTTAAAATAACGAATTTGTGCAGCATCGAAAAAAAAATTAAACTCATGGCATTGTGCCTTGAGACAACTTACTGAAACATCCCGTACTGAAAATTACATTTTATGAAGAGCTTTAAAATTTTTTGAAAAATGAAAAAAAAAGACTTTTAAAAACTTTTTTTCTATTATGAAATTTTTCGAAAATTATGAACTTTTTGCAAAGCAATTGCGTTGCGTAGCTGTTTCAGAGAAGAAATATCGAAACTCAATTATCATTTTTCGTAATTGCCTGTACCAAAAGCTAATCAGCACGTCTCCTTATCAATACAAATCTAATATTTTTTAATTATTCAAGTCGATTTCGATAACACAGATCAACCGATTTAAATGATTCAATCCCTATTGATAAGAAGACGTGCTGATTAGTTATTGAACAAGGCAGGTCAACTGTTTTGAAGATACGGGCCAAAATGCCAAAAATGATAATTCAGTTTTTGAGAAAAAAAGCATCCAATATCATTCAAAAAAAATTACAGCATAAATAGCTGCTTAAATTTGTCAGGGGCAGGTTTAGCGGTTTCGATGATCCAATAAAAAAAATTGAAAATGAAACATTTGGCGGACAAAAGTGATCATAAGACATATGCACATTAAATTATCAGATATTTTAAAGATATTATAAGAATAAGTATAAATTTTGTTCACATTTATATGCGTAAACAATGTTACAGTGTTTATCCGTTAGACTGCGACGCGGCGCTTACGCGCTTCTATATTTTGTCCCTACGCAGCTGAAGCAGCGCTATTGCTTTAAAAAAAAGTTCGAAAGTTCGTGAAATTTCAGGGATGGGGCGGCATTTTTGTCAGTGCCCCGGGGCGCCAAATTTCTAAATCCGGCCCTGGCTCTATCTATCATATTCTGCTAGAGTTTGCTGCAAATAAAACTAGTTCTTCCTTGGCATGGCCATTAGCGAACTTATGGGCTGGTAATATGGATAAAACTGAGCCAGAATCTATAAGGAATTGGATTGAAGTCTTTCTGTCTGTTATATGTAGGCGGAGCTCAGAGCAGACAGAATTTATTTCACCGTCATTGCATGCTCCAATTAATGACGGTGAAGTCATTTTTCCGTCGGATTTATCAATTTAAGCAGGCAGGGTTCCTCACACTTTGCTTACTGATTGAATTAATTGACATAGTTTTGAATTGTTTAAAAAATTCCAACTTTTCGATATGTTTTATTTTATATACCATGCTGATAATATATAATTAAAATAGTTTCAATGAATACGTTTAACATTTTAAATATAAATATTTAATTTAGTACCAGCTGATTGATTTTCGAATCAAAAATTTATGATATTTTCATACCATTTTTTCGACATAATATAAATTTAATTTTAATTATAAATATATAATGTAATTTATATTATTGTTTATATTTGAGTGTCTGTATTTTTAATATAATTTACGAATATACAAGCAGCAGTTTTAAATAAAAAACAAACGTTTTTTTCAATATTTTATATACTAATATTTAAATTTGATTTATTTTTATTTTGATAAATTACTTTTTAATGATTAAAAAGTAATTATTAACAAAACTTCTGTTGAATCATTTACCTATAATTTATACATTATTATTAGAGGTTGTTCTGATACTTGAGTGGAAAATGCTTGTATTATATAAAATGCAAATTATATTAATTAAATTTACTATTTTTACTAATATATGAGATATTTTTGACAGTATATGAATTAAATTTTTAAAGATATCATTTTCAAATTTTATTATGTCTTTCCATCGATTAAAGTCAGCATATCAAGGAATTTATCATGAGAGATCTATGATAATTTTATAGGCATTTGAATTATATTTATTCTGGATAATGCATCCAGAGTTAATTTATTCTCACGTTTTATGTCTCAATAGGAAAATGTCTTCTAAAGCTATACCAATTTTTGCAGAAGTAGGCTGTTTTGAGGTCATCTTTTTAAAATGTTTTATTTCTAGAAGATAATCAAAATATTTTCTAGAAGAATAGCACGTTTTTTATCATATCGAGTAACACCTTTTAAATACAAATGAAAAAAATCATTTTGGATGCCAAATGGTATTTTGCTCTTGTTCCTGATTTTCACAAATAGCTAAAAATGTTACACAAGTAATAGTATATTAGTAATATTTTTAATGGCTTTTTTAAATGCATTTTCATACTTACCATAAACTTTTTCAATTAAAATATGTAAATACATAGTACTTAGATAATTATAGAGCATTCTAATACAAAATTCTATCTGCGCTTATTTTTTTATTTCTCTGAATATTTTAAAAAATGAATTATTATTTATTCTATTATTATGTTACATTAGTTTTGTTTAGCACAACTTATCTATTTATTTTATTTATTATTTATTTTTTATTATCATAAGCAAGCCGTAATCAATAATAATAGATATTATTTCAGGCTCTTATCATGAAGCATATAAAATTTTTTTACGGTTTGGTACTATATTTGAGTAATTCAATTGAACTATTTTATTAAAAAAAATTGATTTACTAGAAGAGAGTTTTTCAAGGAGTATCCTTGCAATATATATTTTTGAAGTATGATATTCTCTTTAAAGATACTGCGAATAATCGTTTTATGGTATAATATTTATTACTAATTAAGTCTTAAAATTTTATTTTATTTTTAACAATTTTTTCTGGTCACATACTGGATTTTTGGAATATTCTTCGAATATCTAAAAATGTTGTAAAATAATTTGAATTAATAAAATGCAAGTGGACGTTTTCAAATGGATTTAAAGTCATGATAAATTGAATGAATTTTTCTATATTTATTTTTTACAATACAATATTTGTCAAAATGTGATTATAAATGTATATAAGGTATCTACTTTTTATAACCTTACTACTTTTTACAAAGGTATATGTTCGATTTTATTTTTTATCTTATATATTTATATTAATAATAATTTTATAATAATAAGAAATTCCACCTTTTAGAAATTACATATACCGATTTTATTCTGGCTAATATTGTTTAAATTTATCTTTTAATTTCGAATTTAGAGCACATAAATTATTATATTCAATCATATCAGAAAAATATAGATTCGAAACATAAACATAAAAATTTAAATAATATAAGAAAAATCATAAAATATTTTAAATTTATTAACTAAATCAGTTGATCGTAAAAATTTCATGTTGTATATTGAAAATAAATAAAACACCATCAGGTACATAATTTGATAATTGAATTTGACTACTTATGGTAAAAAATCTAAATTTTAAACCGAGTGTGAAAGCTATTTTTTACAAACTTTTAAAACTGAAAAATCTAAATTTGATTTTTTTACATAATTTTTGGATAGCAAGTTAGTTTTTTAAATTTTTAGATATATCTTTAAAATATTTGGTTTATTACACAATCGACCTATTTTCATAAAATTTCAAGATACTGCGAATAATCGTTTTATGGTATTATTTATTACTAATTAAGTCTTAAAATTTTATTTTTTTTAAAAACATTTTTCTGGCCACATACTGGATTTTTGGAATATTCTTCGAATCTAAAAATGTTGTAAAATAATTTGAATTAATAAAATGCAAGTGGACGTTTTCAAATGGATTTAAAGTCATGATAATTGAATGAATTTTTTCTATATTTATTTTTTACAATACAATATTTGTCAAAATGTGATTATAAGTATATAAGGTATCTACTTTTTATAAATAAGAAAAATCATAAAATATTTTAATTTATTAACTAAATCAGTTGATCGTAAAAATTTCATGTTGTATATTGAAAATAAATAAAACACCATCAGGTACATAATTTGATAATTGAATTTGACTACTTATGGTAAAAAATCTAAATTTTAAACCGAGTGTGAAAGCTATTTTTTACAAACTTTTAAAACTGAAAAATCTAAATTTGATTTTTTTACATAATTTTTTGGATAGCAAGTTAGTTTTTTAAATTTTTAGATATTTATCTTTAAAATATTTGGTTTATTACACAATCGACCTATTTTCATAAAATTTCAATTTTATTATATACTTCATGTATTTTATCATGATGTTTTGTACTTAACAAAAGCTAAGAATTTTTGTTCTCTGTGATCTTCAATATGGGTTATATATATATATAAATCCATAATAATTTTGGGTAATTTTATTAAAAAACAAAACGATATTATTTCTATTTTTTTCATTAATAGTCGTAGATATATTATTTAAATTAATAATTATTTAAAATAACATTGATCATTTTTTATAAATTTATCATTTTTTATTTTATCATTTTTATCATTTTTTATCATTTTTTATCATTTTTTTATCATTTTTTTATCATTTTTTATAAAAATAATTCCAGTTTTAGTATATAAATAATTAAGTAATATTTTTTGATAAAAAATCGAGAATTTTATCCAACAAACTTCCCTCTTGGAAGTTTTGTTCATCAAATATTGATATCGTATCTACTTTTCAAATAATTCTGTTTGGAATGACATTTTATTAAAAAAAAAAATACTTATAGATACGAATAATTTTATATACATACTTGGAACTATTATGTGCTAAAATTAAAGACTGCATAATTTTGTATAATTCAGTTTTTATAATTTGTGTCTAAACTTTTTAAATCCTTTCCGGCTTCCAAAAATTATAGAATTATTAATTAGAACTCACATCTATTTTTTAATCAATTATATATATATATTTTTCTAAATTTTAGTGAGAAACTAATTAATTTTTTTTTCAAATACAAATACAAATAAACTTCATTTAAAAATGTTTCTGAAAAGCAAAAAAAATGTGATCCTTTAAATGAGCTTTTCAGAGATTTATTTGAAATTTTAATGCTATATTTTTTCATGCTCATAATACAAAAGTTAAATTAAATTACATTAAATTTTTAGGTGATATATTTATAATATTATTTTATAGAATTCCACATAATTTGGAAAGTTCATTAAATTTATTTGAAATCGAAGATTTATAGATGAGTGTTGGCAGGAAAATATATAAATCCTTAAATAAGTAATTAAGTAAACTATTTTTTTGATAAAAATCGAGAATTTTATCCAACAAACTTCCCTCTTGGAAGTTTTGTTCATCAAATATTGATATCGTATCTACTTTTCAAACAATCCTTCTCGGAGTGACATTTTATTAAAAAACAAATAATACTTATAGATACGAATAAATTTTATATATATACTTGAAAATATTTAAAAAAAAATTAGTCTAAACGCAAAAATTTATGCATAATTTTGTATAATTCAGTTTTTATAATTTGTGTCTAAACTTTTTAAATGTTTTACGGCTCCTAAAAATTATAAAATTATTAATTTGAATTTACACCTATTTTTCAATAAATTATATATATATATATATATATATATATATATATTCTAAACTATAGTGAGAAACTAATTAAGATTTTTTTCAAATACAAATACAAATAAACTTTATTTAAAAATGTTTCTGTAAAGCAAAAATATGTGATCCTTTAAATGAGCTTTTTCAGAGCTTCATTTCAAATTTTAATACTATATTTTTTCATGCTCCTAATACAAAAGTTAAATTATATTACATTAAATTTTTAGGTGATATATTTGTAATACTTTATACAATTTGTAATAAATATTTGTATTACTTTATACAATTCTACATAATTTGGAAACATCAAAATGTGGAAATAGCAATTTGAATATGTAAACTACTAGTACGGTATTTGTTAATTCTTTTAAATAAAAAATATATTTAAAATTCATAACTTTCAATGGGAAAATACATTTTATATCGTAACAATGTTAGAAGCAAACGTATAAAAACACTGTGCAAGTTTGTATCCTTCATCATTATTACATTATGAATTCTATCATTATTATTTATATATAAAATTTTAAATAAAAACTAACAAGCTGAAGAAAACTAAAAATTTGGGGCATTTTGAAATATTGCTGGAAAATAAAAAAATGATGGACCATTAAAAAATATAAAGAATGCTTACTTAAAAAGTATATTTTTTTGAACAAAAACTAATATTTTAGATATTATTTTTAATTTATGAAATTTTTCAGAATTATATTTAAATATTTATGC